GATACAACAAATGTACTTAGTGTGATTGGTTATTATCCTTGCTTTTCTTTAAAATGGTCATGGTTCGAATCCCAGTACGTGTCTTTTTAATGAATAAAAAAAAGTAATTGTGAAGACCAAAATGTCCTTCCTCGAAACGCTCTGAGCGTCGGAAATTTGAAATGGTGTTTGGGTTTTTGGATACCAGCTTTTATAAAAGGTGTAGATTATAAATTATATTATTGTTAAAGTTACATATTTTCAGATAATGTTATTAGAGACCGATTCTACTACTTACAGAGGCAAAGATTATATCGGTTACTAATAAATTATTTTTAAAGTCAAATAATAACATTAATAGAGACAGATTGTATATCTGTAATATATAAGGTATCTTTAGAGACATATGCTATATTTGTTTCAATAATTTAGTCGTTATAGATCAATTTTCTTGTAGTGTATCGAAGGCCAATTTCAATTGGAATTCCTGATATCGTCATTTGGAGTTTCAACAGCAGTGCATCCTCCTCGAATAGAGTCCCAAACACCATCAGCATAAATGCAGCTAACGAAAATATGATTGATGCTTCCCTCTTCACATTGGCAAAGGGCACATCGATTAGCGAGATTCCATCCTCTTCTTTTAAAGTTATCAATGGTCAAAATACTGTTGTGAGAGACACACTAGATGAAGAAAAATATTTTGGTGAGAATAATGTGCTTCCAAACAGCAGCGGATGGGAAGTTTGGCAGTCCAGGAAATAAGTCTTGAATCTGCGACCTGTACATGGAGGCAACAGAGAAACAATAATCTGGTTTTGGAGACCAGATCAATCTGCACGGACTGTTAGCCGATCGGTGACATTCAAGTGAATTAAGAAGTGAGAAAAGATTGTTCCTTTCCCTTTCATCCCCCTCCCCCCCCCCCCTTAAAGTGAAATTGAGATCTAAATTTCAAGAAGCGCTCTCACCTGAGAAAGATAAAATATCTGAGATCTGAGCATCAGGAGAAGAAGCGCCAGCAGCAATACGGGGGAAGGCTTTGACAAGAGTCATACCGAAAATCCAAGTATCATGCCAAAAAGAGACAACTCTCCTCCTCCTTTGTCGATATAAGTAAGTTTCCCAAAATTGTCGTATTCCTTTGTGATATTTGCGCAGACAGAATCAGCAAAAACCACTTCTAACACGACCGGATTGCCAACACGAAACCGAATTAGGATATTTGACATCAATGAGTCTGCGCCACCATTTATCTCTCCCGACGACAAACTTCCAAAACCGTTTAGCAAGGAGAGAGCTATTGAACATGGCTAAATCAACAATTCCAAGACCATCTTTATCTTTAGATGCTTTGCACATATTCCAACCAACCAGGGACATCTTATGCATGTCTTCGGTGCCACTCCACAAGAATTTCCTTTGAATTCTCTCCATGTTGTCCACAGCCTTCTTCGGCGCCTTGAATAAGGAAAAATAGTAAACAGATAGACTTGAAAGAACAACCCTGTTGAGCGTGAGTCTACCACCGGTCGATAGATAGCTACAATTTCAAGTTTCGAGCCATTTCTAATAATTGGAAACAATAAGTTCCTAGAAAGAAACTTTGTTAAGCTTGAGGCCGAGTGGATAGCCAAGATATTTAGGCGGTTCTCTACTGCATCTATATCCAAGAATATCAGCGTAGAAACCTGGTTTAGGGACAGTTTGAAAGCAACCCAAAATGCTCATAATGTTTAGGACCAGTTCGTGAGAAACATCACGGAAGATTAGGGTATCGTCAGCTAAGAGGAGATGAGTGACTTCCCCTTGATGATGGAGCTCATCCATGAAACAACCTTCAATCAACCCTTCGTCACTGATTCTCGAGATCAAGAATGAAATAATATCCATAATAAGTGCAAAGAGGGTCCCATTGCTGAATTCCCTTATGAGCAGGAAAGAATCCTTTAGCTTCACCATTGACCAAAATAGAAAGGAGAGGATAACAAACAGCGCCTTTGATTCACTTCTGCCATGTATCAACAAAACCCCATTCTCGCCAAAACATTCAAAAGACAGTACCAATTAACATAGAAGACGGCTTTCTCAATGTCCAATTTAAACATCAGTCCCGGTTTTCTGCTTTTTCTTTGGTTGTTAACTAATTCATTAGCGATAAGGCCAGCTTCAGAGATTTGCCGCCCATGAACACGAGCATGTTGATAAACCGAGATAAGATCGAGAAGAACCAGACTCATACGTTGAGACAGAACCTTGTTGATGAGCTTATTGATGCTACCCATGAGACTAATGGGTCTAAGATCCTTAACGTTCTCGATAAAATCTTTCTTAGGAACAAGACAGATGAAGGAGTGACAACACTCTTAGGAACCCGTGTCAAAAAATTGATTGAAGACCTTCACGATGTCATTTCTAATCCACGACCAACATTTTTTTATAAAATTGTAAGGTGAAACCATCCGACCCAGGAGCTTTGTCTCCATCACAATCATTCAAGGCACTCCAAATTTTAGTCTCTGTGAAAGGTTGGATGAGATGGTTTGCTTAGACATCAGAAAGCCTCTTGTCAAAGTACTGCCGAGGGAAGGGTCTGATCAAGATATCTTCATGAAACAGGTTTTGTAGTAATCGATAATGCATTGAGAGATCTCTTCTTTACCTTCAATGCTTTGACCTTCGATGCAGATCCGGTCTATATGATTATCTTTCCTTCTGTAATTTGTCATTTTATGAAAATAACCACTGTTCTGACACCCTTCTTGAGCCATAGTTCACGAGACTTCTGTCTTCAGCATGTTTCTTGCATACTTAAGGCCTTGGAGAGCACCAAACTCAATTCTGTTCTGCTGGTTCTTTCATCCTCATTAAGAGCACGACTCTCTTCAGATGCATCAATTAAATGTATCTTGCTAAGTAGATTATCCACCTTCATATGAATGTTACCAAACACTTCTTTATTCCACCTTTCAAGCTTCTGTTTTAAATCAATCTCCTGCTCCATAAGAACGTAGATCCATTGCCTTGAACAGGGGACTGAGACCAGTTGTTTAATTCAATGTAAACTCTATCATCTTTCAACCACATATTCTCGAAACGCCATGATCTCTTGACCCTTCTACCGTTGCCCCATTGAACAAAAAGGGGGTTATGATCTGATTCTACACGTTCAAAGGCAGTAAGTCTGCAATCTGAAAAGAAGAATCAAAATCCGAGGAAATGAGGACTCGATCATTGCGAGAGAGAGAGAGAGAGAGAGAGAGAGAGAGAGAGAGAGAGAGCTAATTCCAGCTCTGTGACTCCATGTAAATCGCTTGCCTCCTAAAGGCAGTTCAAGAAGTGCATTGTTGTTGATGAAATTGTTAAATTCATACATCATGTCACTGTTGCGCCTTACTTCTTGATAATCATCATGATGCCTCACCATATTGAAGTCTCCTGCAATGCTGAATGGATTGATTTGGCGCTCACAGTAAAGATGAAGTTCGCTAATAAAAGCAAAGCTTGTCGCTTCTTTCTTGAGGTCCATAAACGGTGATTAGACCTAACATGGTAAGTTCTAGCAGTAGCAGTCATTCCAGCCCATACAGGGGCAACCTTTCTAGCCACAGCAACGGCAAATTCAGCAGCCCCAGCGCAGGGTGACCAGATGTCCGAGCTGCGAAATATGGTGACGACTTTCGTGAGTACCAATACTCAGAAGTTCGCCAAGATGGACCAGTTCATGGATTTCTCCATAGGGAAATTCAATGAATTCGAGGCAGGTCAAATGAACCAAAATGACATTTTGTAGGATCTCCAGAACCAGATTGGGAGCGTAGCCTGAAATAACAACACCAGAGCACCGGGGACTCTACCTGGTCAACACCATCCCAAATCCTAAAGAGCCACACCAGCAGATGGATTCTATTACTACGAGTAATGGGAAGACGACGAATGTAGTTCCTGTTCTGGTTAGGCAGGATAAACCGAGACATATTTCAGCACTTTCAGCGGAAGACGAGGAAGTGGAGATTGAGAAGGAAGCGCATGCTCCCAAACCACAGCCAGTGGTTAAGGAGCATGTTCCCCAGCTTCCTTTCCCCACTCATATGCACAAGGACAAACTAGACACTGAGTTTGCCAAGTTCATTGTAATGTTGAAGCAGATCAACATCAACATACCGTTCGTGGAGGCATTGTCGAAGATGCCCAACTTATGCGAAATTCATGAAGGATCTCCTCACGAATAAGAAGAAACTTGGGGATCTATCGATAGTGATGCAGAGTGAGGAGTGTTACTATCCCTCTTGTTATTGGCAGCATGCATGTAGGAAAGTCCTTGGCGGACCTAGTCGAAAAGCCTAAAGTACGACCTTGCATTACTAAACACCGTCGATGTTTTACTAAATCCTGCCGGTGTTTTTCCCCATCCCAACTTAAGCGAAACGCGGTGTCTGGTCAAATCACGGTCAGAAAAGAAAGTACCACTGTCAGACTGTGCTCTTGGCCGTGCTTTGCCCAGTATCGGGGTAAATAGGCAGATTCGAGCCAAAAGCAGGGGATTCGAGTTTTCTTAATTATAAGATTCGATTAATTAGGTATGAGTTGATCATATGCCTATTGACATAATTCTCAAATGTAAAGAAATAGTTTTTGGTTAGTTGGACTCGAACCTATTGATTGCATACGTAATCGAGTAGTCATGATCAAAGTCCACGTAGTTCGATGATTTTGAATCTTTTTTTTTTTTTGAGAAGTGATCTTAACATGTTCTATTGATCATGGCTAAGATGATGATTTGAGTTGTTAGGAAATGCATTTATGATGATTCAATTGAGTGATCGAGAACGACTATTTTTAAAAGAATATCATCGAGAACGACTATCATTATCTATTGACCTAGATTTCGTATTAAGAGGGGAATTTCTTAGTGAAAAGATATATGTATGTAAAATAGACGGCCGAATGAAGGCATTGATCAAGGTTGTTAATATTTTTATTAATTTAGAGGTAGTCGTAACTTAAATGTAGCGGAGGCCATGAGGCAAGATGGGAGAGACGAAGGGTTTATGGAGGAAGAGGACCCGCTGTGCCCGCCAATCTTCTTCACTGCAGCGGAGGAGAGAAAATTCTGCCGAGCATATAGGTCGGCACTAGTGGTGAAAGTCCTGGGGAAATCAGTGTCGTACACGGGCATATCCAACAGGCTGAACGTTATATGGGCGAAAGCCGGAGGGATCCAAGTAGCATCGATCAAAAATGGGTACTACCTTGTACGGTTTACAAGCGGCATAGATTATGAGCGTGCAACAACGGGGGGACCATGGATGATTGGCGAGAACTATCTTACGGTTCACATGTGGGACAAGGATTTTAACCCTTACAACCATGAGATCTCATCGACGTTGGTGTGGGCTCGACTACTTGACTTGCCTGTCCATTATTTTCACCCGGATGCTGTGATGAAAATTGCGCAACGCATTGGGAAGTCGTTACTGGTGGACCATGCAACGAGCACGGGTGCTAGATTGGATTATGCGCGCATATGCGTTCAAGTGGACCTGCAGAAACCTCTCCTGTCACAATTCAGGATACACGGAATTAAATATTTCATTCAATATGAGGGTTTGGATAATATATGCTTACAATGTGGAACTTACTCGGCCAAAGGCTACTGTGCCTGCTCTCCGCCGATGAAGATGGACCAAGAAAAAGAGAAGGCGACGGAACCGCCGGCGACAAATGACCCAACCGAAGGTCAACCACCCCAAAGCCCTCTAGAGAAGGAACAAGTGTACGGGGAATGGATGATCGCGAAGAGAAGAACGAAGACGCCCAAGGACATACAACAGGGGAGAGCCGAAAAGAATGGTCAACGTGGAGCCGAGCACACAACTAGTGGTAAGAGGGGCTCTCGTTTCTCCGTGTTAAGCGAAGAGGAAGATGTTGTAACGCCAAAGGGAGTGAGTACTACTGTTGGGATACAATCGAACGGAAACTCCAAAGATGAGTCTTCGAGGAAGCAGAACCAAAACACCAAATGGCAAGAAAAAAAGAGGGGAAACGATCAGGGAAAGAGCATGTGAATAAAGCCATCCCGCCTAGCCAGCAATCTCAGAGAGGAGCTGCTCAGAAAAGCCCACCGAGTGTTGGAGATTCGCTGACAAAGGAGAAGTTACCTATGCAGGAGGGGAATAGGGAGTCGATCCCTTAGACCTCTTCGAATTCCCAGGACCTTACGATTTCGACGGGAGAGAATGCTCAATCAGTTGTGCACGAGGAAAACGACCACAGATCCAGACCGCCAGCGAGCCCGCCAGAGAATGGGGAAATGGGGATGGAGATCGAAGGTGCAGTGAGAGCTACAGATCCAAGTCCGGTGAACATGTAGGAGAGTCCCAGTTATGGGGCTCCCTCCCCTTTCGTGTAATCTGGCGCCAGCCGAGGCCTACTCTACCATGTATTTAAATGAAGATCAATATTTTTCCATGGAATTGTAGGGGAGCGGGAAGTAAAAGCTTCCTGAGGACGTTCAGAGAATATAAGAGAAAGCAACGGCCTTGTATTGCTATCATCGTTGAACCTCGAATCAGCGGTAATAGGGCTCGTGAAGTGGTGAAGGATATGGGATACGACAAGGAATTGATTGTTGACGCGGCGGGTTTTTCGGGAGGCATATGGATCACTTGGGACTCATCGTTGATTACGGTAACTGAGGAGGAAAGATCAGACCAGTTCCTTCATGTCCGCGTTCAAAGTGGGCGACTTGCATGGATGCTCACGGCCATTTATGCTAATCCCGCCCTAGTTCAACGTCGGGAGCTCTGGCAGTCGATCCGAGGCTTATCAGAAGATATGGTTGATCTGTGGGTTTTGGTGGGGGACTTCAACTCAATCTTGCAACCTTCAGACAAGATGGGCGGTGCACCTTACGATGCCAGCCGTGCGAGGGATTTTCAGGCGTGTGTCCTCGATGCCGAGCTGATCGATATTGGGTTTACAGGGCCACCATATACTTGGTTTCGAGCGGGGATAAAGGAGAGATTGGATCGAGCACTGGGTACCTGGCATGGACATCTTCGTTCCCGGAATCATCTGTTCGCCACCTTCCTAGGGTAAAAAAGAGCGATAACCGGCCCCTGCTATTACAATTGAACCCTGGATTCCAAGCCCCGGGGCCAAAACCGTTCAAAGTTATGGCGCCATGGCTGATGCACGACGGTTTCAAGGTAATGACGGAGCAAGCATGGAAGAAAGGAAATGATTTGCTCACCGCGATTGCGGAATTCTCCTCGGCAGCAAGAGAGTGGAACTACCATACATTTGGTAATATTCTGAAGAAGAAGAAGGATACCCTCATGGCAAGAATAGAGAGACTAGAAATACGATATGATGGGGAATCCGACTGCGAACCTCTTAAGACAGCGAGGGATGAGCTGGAGGAGATTCTTCTGCAAGAGGAACTCTTATGGTACCAAAAATCTTGCTCAAATTATGTGGCTCTGGGAGACCGCAACACGAAGTATTTCCATGCGAGGACAGTACAACGTCGACGCAGAAACAGGATTGTCGCATTAAAAATGCCATGGGAGAGTGGATTGATGATCAAGACGAGCTACTCTTCATGGCACGTAATTTTTACTCGGATCTGTATACTGATGATGGAATCCCTACTACTCTCATCCCAGCGGCCTTTGAAGTGGTTCCCAGTCATTTGTGGCTGCCGCTATCGGGCTAGATAACGGAGGAAGAAGTTTTTGGAGCAGTGAAGGCCATGGGGGCCCTCAAAGCACCGGGAAAAGATGGGTTGAACCCGCTGTTCTACCAGAAGTGTTGGACCATTGTGAAGAAGGAGGTGGTGGAGTTTGTGCAGGCTGTCTGGGTTGACCCAGCCAAGGTGCGGGCTGTTAATGAGACTATTGTTGTGCTCATACCGAAAATTGCCCAACCCTCTTTGATCGAGCAGTTCAGACCCATAAGCCTCTGCAACGTGGTTTATAAAATGATCACTAAGTGCTTGGCGGAGCGCCTGAAACCTTTGATGCCTCGGCTGGTCCACGAGACGCAAACCAGCTTTGTCCCGGGAAGACACATTACTGACAATATCTGTATTTTGCAGGAGGTTGTACACTCGATGCGGGCGAAGAAGGGGAAGCGAGGGTGGATGGTGCTTAAAATAGACCTGGCGAAGGCATATGATCGAATCAAGTGGTCGTTTTTCCAGGAGACTCTTCAAGCGGCGGGAGCTCCACAGAAGTTCATTGAAGTAACCATGGCGTGCATATCTTCCGTGAGCATGCAGATACAGTGGAACGGGGGGCTTACTCGATCTTTTATGACGTCACGGGGGCTTCGCCAGGGATGCCCTTTGTCTCCGTACATCTTTACACTGTGTATGGAAAGGCTCGGACACCTCATCTCAGCGGCGGTGGAAAATGGCAGTTGGAAGCCGATTATTTTATCAGCGCAGGGCCCTCCTTTGTCACACTTTTTTTTTGCAGATGACTTGATATTGTTTGGGGTGGCAACCTCGGAGCAGGCAGGGGTGATCACGAGCATTTTGGAGGGCTTTGGCGCGGCATCAGGGCAACAAGTCAGCCGTCCCAAGTCGAGAGTCTACTTCTCCCAGAATGTCAACAGCGCCGATCGAAGCAGACTGAGCAGCGAATTGGGTATCCCGGAGACTAACAACTTGGGAAGGTATCTGGGGGTCCCGGTTATTCATGATCGGGTCTCGAAGAATACATTTACAGGGTTAATCGACAGGATCGATGCCAAGCTGGCTGGATGGAAGGTCACCTCACTCTCTTTAGCGGGACGAATCACATTAGCGCAAGCTGTGCTCATGGCGCTCCCGGCTTACACCATGCAAACAGCCTGGTTACCGGCTGCTGTCCGCGAGTATAATGATAAGAAAATAAGAAGTTTCATTTGGGGAAGTTCAGATCAGGGCCGCAAAATACACCTCTTAGACTGGGAGACTGTTTGCCAGCCGAAGGAGAAGGGAGGACTCGGCTTGCGAAGCGCGACGGAAGTCAATGAGGCCTATATGATGAAAATTGCGTGGAGGCTATTTACTGAGCCAGGGAGCCTGTGGGCGCGAGTAGTCACAAGCAAGTATCTTCGGTGGTCGGAAGAGGGATGGCAGCCGAGGAGAGTGGGCCGGTTATCAAACCTGTGGCGGGGAGTTCTTCGAGTTCTCCATAGACTACCGGAAGGCACGCTTTGGAACATTAAGAGTGGAATGCATGTCAAGTTCTGGACCGACCGCTGGCTACAAGATGAGCCACCTCTGGCCGATTTCGCTCCAAATTTACCAGATGAGGCGAAAAAGTTGACCGTGGCAGATCTGGTGGTGAACGGCGAATGGAATATTGATTTTGTGAGAGCTTTCGTCCCGGAAGCGATAGCTGCTCAACTCTTGCTCCACCCGGTGCCTCATGAAGCAGGTCCGGATATTCCTACCTGGCGATTTTCTCACGGGCCGCTTCACAATGGCGTCGGCTTGTGAAATGATCAGGAGCGCCGACGGGGATCTGCCATACTCCCCGACTTGGAAAGCCATTTGGAAAGTGCCGGGGCCGCAGCGGACGAAGACTTTTCTATGGTTGGCACTCCACCAGAGGTTACTGACGAATGGGGAACGGCGTAGGAGGCACCTAACCCATGAAGACCACTGTAAGATCTGTGGAGCGGGACCTGAAACCACCATACATGGGCTCCGAGATTGTCCTTATGCGCGTATGATCTGTGCGAAAGTGCTAGCTAGAGAACAGGATGAAGCCTTTTTCGAGGAAGACATGAGGAAATGGCTGCTGCACTACCTAACGGGTCGTGGTACTGCTATAGACCCCACCCTATTTGCGATTATGTGTTGGAAGCTTTGGCATAACAGGAAGTGCTGGGTCTTTGACAAGTAGCTAGCGTCATCCCATGCTTTGGTGGCGCAAGTGAAGCAAATGTGTGAGCACACCAAGTTGGCTGTCAACCAGAATGTGCGAATCCTGGATGAGAATATGAACCGGGTAACAAGAATGGTGAACTGGCAGGGACCCCCTGAGGGTTGGGTGTGTTTGAATACGGATGGAGCTGTAAACTTGAGCGAGGGCACATCTGCGGCGGGGGGCATTCTGCGGGCACACGATGGCAGGTTCATTAGAGCTTTTGCGGCAAACTTGGGTGGCAAATCCATAACCCACCCTGAGCTCGCTGGTATTGTTCATGGGCTGAGGTTGGCGTGGGATAGTGGAGCCCGGCAGATCGAGTTACAGACGGACTCAGCGACTGCCGTTCATCTGATTCAGTCGGGGGTGGACGTTCACCCTCATCATACGTTGATAGCCGAAGCTCGGCGGATGCTAGTGCTGGACTGGGAAGTAAAGATCAAGCACGTGTTCCGCGAAAGCAACTTCACGGCGGACTACTTGGCAAGTCTCGGGCAGTCCCTTCAGATAGGAGTGCAGCTGATAGACAATCCGAGCCCAACTTTAAACTACTGGATGTTTTTTTATGTAGTTGGGGTACAAACCCCTCGTTTAGTTAATGTTTAAAGGGCTAAAGCGCCCCTAGCGCTCTGTTTACTACCAAAAAAAAAATACAAAGTCATACCTTGAGAAGATTTTGCGCATTAACCTAACAAAGATAAAATTAAACAAAAGGATTATGATGATCAGAAATAGATAGTAGCCTAATTGATTAGGTTTCTCGATTGGTTCCTTGAGGTCATGGATTAAGAAACCGTGCCGTGCCGGCCGGTCCTACCGGGAAAACCGGAAATGAGAGCAAATTCGGAACGGCACACTGAAAATGGGAAAATTAACATGCCGGCCGGTATTTTCCGTCAAACCGGCATACCGCGAAATACCGCCCGGTTTCTGATCCAACCGTCGACTTCTAAAGTTCAAATCGAACTCCAGCGACGACAGGCTCTTGCTCGCCGGCCCTTTCTTCGCCGCTCTGCGCGCCTTGGGCGGCGAATTGGAACCGGAGGCGGCGCGAGGTACCTTTTTGCGACGCGGGCGTGGAGGAGGAGGAGGAGGAGGGGAGTAGTTAGTGAATTGTTCCAATTCGTCTCCGGTGGCTTCTT